TGCACTCCAGTCTGGGTGACAGAGTGAGACTCCAACTCAAAAAAAAAAAAAAAGAATTAACTTCAGAGCCAGAGACCCAATGTCCCAGTGCCATGCTGCCTTCCTCTGACTGAAGAGAGGCTTAGTCAGCTCCCTGCGACTCTCTGGAGCCCTCCCAAGCCCAGCACCCCTCTGGGCTACTTACCTGGCCCCCAGCTCAAGAAGGAATGACAGGCTCCATTGGGTTTCTTTTCCAGGTCTTTCAGTTTGCAGTCAAAGAATCTCTTATCCTGAAGCTACCAACAGATGAGCTCATGAACCCCTCGCAGAAGAAGAAAAGAAAGCACAGGCAAGACTTGGACAAGCTTCTTTATGGCCAGACCATTCCCTGCCTCCCCTTGGACCTCCCACCTGCCTCCCTCGTTAGCTGGCCTCCTCAGTGCTTCCTGAGGTTCTGTGCCTTGGACCAGCCCTTTCTCTGCCTCCAGATGCTCTGGACCAGGAGATAACTGTCTGGGTTTCCATTTAAGCTCCTGGCCAGTAAGACACAAGCTGGCCTCGTGCCTCCACCCTGAGGCCATTTCTCTCTGTTGGGTTAGTTACCACCCTACCTGTTTCTCAGCTCTGGCCAGAGAATATCCCTTTTCTTTCTCTCTCCTTTTTTTTTGCATTTGTGTTGTTTTTCTAAGTTGCATAACAACACTGTCTCCTAGCTAGCTTTACTTAGGGTTGGGAGTTTTTTTTTTAAAACTTGGCCCCCTGCCTAACTCAGTTCCCTAATGACTACCATCCATCAAAGGAAGGCACCAATACCAGCTATAGCCCAGAAGGAAGGCCCTGTGGCTCCTCCCTTTCAGCTTTTTCACTCAGAAGATTCCTGAAAAGCCTTCTCACCTCTCTATCTTCAAATTCCCCACATCTCCACCCCCACAAAGAGGAGGCAGGGAGGAGGAGCGAAAAACAGTAGCACTGTAATAGAAATCTAGGGTTGGGCTGCGTTCTCTTTCTGTATTTTGTTCTTGTATGGTTATTTGTTTAGGAGGGAGTTGTGTTTAAGTTGAGGCCAGCTACATTTAGGACAGACTCTAGCTTCCACGTACCAAAGTAGGGGTCTCCTATGGGGAGATCTGGGGAGAGACTTCCCTGTCACCAAGCTACCGTCCTGCAGAGCAAGACCCTTTATCATATACTTGCATCTACAGAGGTCCCAGGGTCATGACCACCCTTTCTGTTGTTGTCAGGTTGTGGGCTGCACACTGCAGGAAGATTCAGCTGAAGAAGGGTGAGTGGCAGCAGGTGCTCCCCAGCAGTTCAGCGGGAGGCCTCGCCCTGTGGCCGGCACCCTGCCCACCTGCACTTGGCGACCCTGCACCACTTCCGCAGATTGCAGAATCCTCTACAGCCTCTGAGGACAGCTCAGCTTCTTGCTGCAGCTGAAAAGGACTCTCAGGAGGCAGTTACAGACCCGAGGTCTTGACTTGCCTTGTGTGTCATTTGCCAGGTTCTAGTTATATTTGGCATAGCTGCCCTTGGTCCAGGACTATCTCCACACCCTCCCCACAAAGCATGTCCCTCATCATAGCTTATGAACAATGGCCATCCAAGACATCTTGCCACAGGTGCTAAATGTGTCCAAGTGCTGGTTAGAACAAGTCTCCTTGGACTCGGGCAGTTGGGCGCTTGGGAGGGTTGTAGTTGGCAGGGCCTTGTCTGTTCTCTCCTAGATAACTCTTCTACACAAGTGTACAACTACCAGCCTTGTGACCACCCAGACCGCCCCTGTGACAGCACCTGCCCCTGCATCATGACCCAGAACTTCTGTGAGAAGTTTTGCCAGTGCAACCCGGACTGTGAGTGCTGCAACTTCCCTGTGGTTCCCCAAGGCAATTGGCCTTGACCCACCCCAGACTTCACCTCTTGTGCCATTTGCTCCCTGTGGGCCTTCTAACATCTCCTTGCTGTGTGTGAGGCATGATACAGATGAAACAAGATGCTTAAGATCTGGAGAAGTCCACCATTACTTTGCCAAGCTCTGGCCAGGCCGTGTGCTCATTGAGCCGTGGCTAGGCCATGTTTCCTAGCTTTGGCCCCCTCCCCTACCTTGAGGAGGTAAATCTCCTCTCTCTCTCTCTCTTTCTCTCTTCTTTCTAAATAAACTATCTTTTCCAGTCTAACTTCGGTGCAGGTGTTAGGAGGCCCTGACCTAACAGTCAATATATAGGTACCAGCAATCCTAAACTTATAAAAATGGACTGTGGAAACTAAAGGAAGGCAAACTGGTTCTAGAAATGCCAGGTTCTGTCTCCCTGAATTCTGGTTTCAGAAATAAAATTATATCTTCCAGTTAAAAAATCTGGAAAAGTTGGCCAGGCGTGATGTCTCATGCCCATAATCCCAGCACTTTGGGAGGCCAAGGTGAGAGAATTGCCTGAGCGCATGGATTCAAGACCAGCCTGGGCGGGTGAGATTCCGTTTCTACAATAAATTAAAAAAAAAAAAAATTAGCCCGGTATGGTGGCACGTGCCTTTAGTTCCAGCTACTTGGAAGGCTGAGGCAGAAGGATCACCTAAGCCCAGCAGATCGAGGCTGCAGTGGCCATGAGCATGCCACTGCACTCCAGCCTGGGTGGCAGAGTGAGAGATTCCAACTTAAAAAAAAAAGAGAGAGAGAGAGATCTGGAAAAGTCATTGTGCAAAACCCTTGGGTTCATCATTCAAAAAGCAGCAGTTATACAGAAATCAGATGCATTCCCAACCTGGCCTTCCAGAGGAGAATTAAGAAACATGGGACATGGGCACAGTGGCTTAGCCTGTAATCCCAGCACTTTGGGAGGCCGAGGCAAGAGGATTGCCTGAGCCTGGGAGTTCAAGACCAGCCTGGGCAACTTGGTGAGACCTTGTCTCTACAATAAATCACACACACACAAAAAAACTAGCCAGGCATGGTGGCGTGCATCTGTGGTTCCAGCTACTTGGAAGGCTGAGGCAGGATTGCCTGAGCCCAGCAAGTCGAGGCTGCCAATGGCCATGAGCATGCCACTGCACTCCAGCCTAGGCAACAAGAGTGAGACTCCAACTCAAAAAAAAAGCATGGGAGTCTTTTTTCTTGGAATGCAGTCCCAGTCTCCCTTTTCAGGGTGTTGTTTTAAATTTTTTAAAATTAAAAATGGTCGGGGGCTGCAATTCTGTGTATGCGTATTTTCATTTAGTAGCTGGAGTTTTTCTATCAGGTGGGAGAAGGGTCTGAATGTCAGCAGAGGCTGAAGACACTTCTCTTTGACTTGGTTTCCCACTGCACCCTTTCTCACTCAAGGTTGAGCAGTTGGGTGGCAGCCCCCAGGACTTGCAGAATGTGCTGCCCCGGTAGATGTGCTGGAAATACCTCCCAGCCCATAGCAGATACCAATCTTAGCCACAGCAGAGAAGTGCTTGTACGGGAAGGGCAGTGGGTGGAGGAGGGTGGCAAGACGGGTGCATTCTGTTCTCAAAATGATGCTTGTTTTGATAGTGAGGGTTTACCAGTGAGAAGTTCTGATTTCGTTTTCCCCGGGCTGCTCCCCACTCTGGGGGGATCTCCAGGAAATATGTCTGGAGAGTCACACCTGCTTTTTTGGCTTGAAGTTGTAAATGTTGGGAGGCACTTCATTTTCTCTGGCAAAAACTTGAGAGTTTGATTATTGGGAAGGGAGCTTCAGTCCTATTTTGCCGAATATCCTGGAACACACAGTATTTACCCTTCTGCTGTCCCTTGAGCTGACCCAGTGATAGCCTGGCCTCCTCTTAGCCTTCACCTGTCTTCCCACCCAGGTCAGAATCGTTTTCCCGGCTGTCGCTGCAAGACCCAGTGCAACACCAAGCAGTGTCCTTGCTATCTGGCCGTGCGAGAGTGTGACCCCGACCTGTGTCTCACTTGTGGGGCCTCGGAGCACTGGGACTGCAAAGTGGTTTCCTGTAAAAACTGCAGCATCCAGCGTGGCCTCAAGAAGGTGAGGCCTTTCCTCAAGCCTCATGCCAGACTGTGATGTGGAAAAGAAGGGATAATCCCAAGCGTCCTCTTCCCACTGGTTCCTTAGAGGGTTTGCATGTGGAAGTGCAGATCCTAAATCCTAAAAGTCACACATTGACTGAACGAATACAGTTTTTTGTCCCAGTAGGGACTGGCCAGACTAAAAGGAGCTAAGGTGGATGTGCCATTGTTGTCTATTCTTACCTCACACAGCAGTGAATTCCCATAGACTCGGGTCCAGAGGTCCCCGGGGTAGTGGAAGAGGTGTCCTATTTCCTTTCACCATCTCCTTTTTTCATCTCATCCTCCCACCAACACATAAAGGCCTAGACCTTTTTTACTTTCAGATCTTCCTAACAGAGTGATTCTTTCCACCTCACCCCCACCACACATGTGCACATGCGCACCCCCCACTCACACAAGGCCTGTGTCTGAGGCCAGGCTCCCTCTTCCCCAGCACCTGCTGCTGGCCCCCTCAGATGTGGCTGGATGGGGCACCTTCATTAAGGAGTCTGTGCAGAAGAACGAATTCATTTCTGAATATTGTGGTGAGGTAAGTAGTAGTGATGCAGCCCACGTTCTCTCTGGGGAGAAGATGATGAGAAACTCTGATTTTCTGTGGGCCAGGGTTCTTTGAACTGATCTCTAAATAACTCAGCTGAGTTCTCATGGGGCCTCTCGGGGGATCCCACAGAACTGTTTGCAGTCCTGAAACAAACCACTGCTCTTCAACTCTTCAGCGACTCCAGCCACACAAGAGATTGGGGGTGGGTGGGGGTCGCCTCTCTTCAGCCTTAACACTGACCAGCCTGGGGGGAATTGGAGCAGCATCACCTGAGCTCCCTTACGAGTCTCATCATGATATGCAATAAGCTCCCGTGTGTGCCACTGCCTAGCCCTCGGTGGGGGTGGGGTGCCATGCCCTGAGCAGGCTGCCTGATCCCTTACTTGCTCCTTGTCTGTCACCCCAGCTCATCTCTCAGGATGAAGCGGATCGACGAGGAAAGGTCTATGACAAATACATGTCCAGCTTCCTCTTCAACCTCAACAATGGTACAGTGGCTCTTGGGTCGAGAGGAGTCTTTCTACCAAATCGCTCTTACTGCAAAGCAGGTCACGGGTTATGTCCTCTGGGAATCTTCCTGCTGATGCCTAGAGGAGGGGGTGAGATAGAGCTCAGAGATCCCAGAGGCCACGGTGCCCTCGCTTTGGGAGAGCCTCCATTTCTGGGTTGTGTTTGTAGTAGAAGCACTGAACACTTAGGCTTCAGAGACCTCCCCACTCAGGAGATGAGAAGGGAAGTCCATCATTCAAGCACAGGGAACCCAAAGGGAGGCTGAGCTCTTAGGCTGCATGCTTTCCCTAATTCCTGTTGACACTCACGGGGTTTTATGCTTTGGGAGGTCGAGGCAGGTGGATCGCTTGAGGCCAAGAGTTTGAGACCAGCCTGGGCAACATAGACCCCATCTCTCCCAAAAAAAAAAAGTACATGGGACTTCAAAATTCCCATTGGACTAAATTGTTTCTGTTACTGTTTAACTAGTCTTAAATTCAGGCTAGAGGAGCTGAGAATTTGCCTGGTGTGCTCATAGTCTTCCTTGATTTACTTCATACAGATTTTGTGGTGGATGCTACTCGGAAAGGAAACAAAATTCGATTTGCAAACCACTCAGTGAATCCCAACTGTTATGCCAAAGGTGAGCTCCTGGTGCCCCAGGAGGCGGGCGGGGCTGGCAAGAAGCCTCAATGACTGGGATTTCTATCTACTGCTCGGCATTTTCCTTAGCTGGGTTATTTTTTGTCCACAGGTAATCATGACTAATGCCTGGTATCATCTTAGGTCCTGTCTCTCTTGTAATCAATGTTTTTCACTGAGTACATTTTAAACACTTTCCCACAGATGTGATTTTTTTTTTTAATCAATATTTTTTATTATGATTTTGTGGGGAACAGTTAAGGGTTAGGTGTACAATTACGTTTCATTCAGGCACCCTGTTGATAAGAGGTGTTTCCCCATTCCCAGACAGATATTTGCGACTGGTAACCCCATTCCGCCCCCACAGATGTGATTTAAAAATAATTCTTTCCTCGTGCCACTAGCCAGAACAGCAGATCTAAAAGCATGGAGGCAGCTGTCTTTATTGTCATCTTTCTGATTCTGTCTGATTTATGTTTTCACTGGGAATTGGAGAAAGTCAGCCCAGGAGTCTCCTGACTCTGGCTGGTTGACCAGGAACCCCACTTCGGGTTTATCCCTTTGCAGTGGTCATGGTGAATGGGGACCATCGGATTGGGATCTTTGCCAAGAGGGCGATTCAAGCTGGTGAAGAGCTCTTCTTTGATTACAGGTGAGGAATAGATTAGGGTGGGTAATGTGGGCCAAAAGGAGGATCTTGCAGGGTCTGGCTGTCTTTGTTCCAAGCCTTGCCTTGGAAGTGGACACACTGTGATAGCCATCAGGTCTGTTAGGAGGGGAAGTGAAACAGGAAGGGACTCCACCTCTTTAGTCACAGTAACCTGGCTCCTCCTCCTGCTCGGGACAGGTACAGCCAAGCTGACGCCCTCAAGTACGTGGGGATCGAGAGGGAGACCGACGTCCTCTAACCTCCTGAGCCCCGCGCCGGCGCTACGGTAGCGGCACTGTCTTGGCTTTCATGCTCACCCACTGCTGCCCAAGTCTCCTACACCATGTCTCCCACACTGAGAACCCCACCCCCTCCCTCTGTAGCGAGGCCTCAGCTGTGTTCAGTGGGCGCAAAACTGTCTTGGTGAGAGGGGAGACAGAGGCAGCTAGGGCTTGGTCTCTTAGTTGCAGATACGGGAGACCGCATCTCCGGCCTCAGAGGAAGCGAGTGCAGGCCGGGTGGATGACTTAGGCTCCCCAGGCTTGGGCCTCAGGACTCAACTTGGGCAGTTCCTAACAAGCGCCAGCCTAGAATTGTAGCTTTCCCAATCAAGGGTCTTTATATAATTGGGGTTCCGGGCAGATCTCTATGGTCCTGGGGCCTGGAGAAGACAGCCTGCATGAATCATGGTCCCTAGTGCCTACTGGGGGCCTGGATCAGAAACAAGCCTGGCTGAACTGAGTGGGGCTGGGTCGCCTTGCTACTGCCTCTCGTGGCAGTGCTCAGTGGAGAGAGGGTGGGTTCTAAGTACAGGCGTTCAGGGATAGGGCAGGAGAGCTAGGCCAGCCTGGTGATAATAGCTAAGCCAGCGTGGGCCCAGGAGGCCTCAAGAAAGATGGATGAATGTTTTCAGATTCCTGGGAGGAGGTGCCAGCACCCCGACTCCTTTCCAAGCTCAGGCCTGGCGGCTGCCACAAATATTTTTCTACTACTGAGGGAACTCCAGGCAGGCCTGCAGGCATGAGCACCTGGTGTGTGGGCTTTGTGGTGGTTCCAGGCCTTCCGCTTCCATAGAGGTTAGGTCCATGGCCAGCGTCACTTGTCTCTTTAGGGCAGGTGGGCCTGGGCCTGGGATAGAGAGGGAAGGTGGTGGGTATGATCCGCTTTTCTGTCTGTAGCACCTGCTATTTGGAAAGGGTGAGCTACGTGTCTGAAGGTGGGTGAAGGCTGAATTGCACGTTTTGGATGGCATCACGTGTGCAGGGCAGACTGGCAGAGGCTATATGAGGGGTAAGAAGAAGCAGGCAGACCACCTGTCCCGTCTGTGGTGCCATTCTCTCTGGGATTCTGCAGAGCAACGCACTTTAACCATTTCTTTTAGAACGTCTGTGGATTGGGGTAGAGTTGGGACTGAGGTCTCTGGGGTCCCTGCCCAAATCCTACACCTGAGGGTGGAGAAGATGAGGGTGGAAGAGTCTCCTCCAGTTCTGTCTCCTCCGTGGGGGAGGCAGGAGCTGGTCTGACACAGGAGAGTTCAGTGAGAAGGGCCAGTGGGAGCTGCCCTGTGCTCACACTGTGTGCTGCACTGATGGTGAGCAGCATTGTGCTGAGTGGAGGGAACTGGGCAGGCACAGGCCAGCTTGGGAGTGGTGGCGTAGGAGCAGGCTTCTCCCTTCTTTCTGGGGACTCAGAGCCGCTCCTCCCAGTCTGTGCTGACCATTCTCTTCCCCCCATCCACTGGCAGGTTCCCTGTGGCCCAGCTGCCTCCTAGGGCCCATGTGGGATACACACACACACACACTGGCACTCCCCACACTGGTGGCACACATGCGCCTGGCACATGCCCAGTCCATTCCCACAGCTGCCCCCTCCCACCTGGTGGGCCAGGCCCAACCTGATTCTAGAATTGCATCTGCTGTGGTCTGTATTCACTGTGTGTATCAGGGTCCCCTCAAGCTGGCTGTGGACTCTGAATTACTCAGAAATTACAGGGGGACACAGAGACAGATGAAGAGGAGAGTTAGGTCTGTTTGAAATGCCAGGCACTGGCCAAAAGGAGTAGGTGGAAAAACATTATTCTCCGACCTTTGAGAGGCTAGACTGATACCCCAGTCCCCCGCAGTTAGCAGAATCACTGTGGTCAGTACCTCCTTTTCCAGTGCCAGGCCATTGTTCCTCTGGCATTCCTGTCCACCATCCCTGCTGTCCCCCACCTTTAATGACGGGTCTCAGCCCCTCCCCCCACATGCAGTGACGGATGGAGCGAGGTGGTGGGGACTGGGAGCAGGTTGGCAAATGTGCAGCTTTATTGCCAGTGAGTTTCACGCACTTTAAAGTCCTGTGGCTTGTGACCTCTAATCTGAATAAAATGTTAGAATCCACTTGGCAAACTGTGTATGGTATGCTTTGGAGCTGCAGGGCCCAGGGCTGTGGACCAGGAGCAGGTCGGGCTGAGGCGGTAGCATCCTGGTCCCCACTGAGATCTGGGGGGCTTGATGTGGGGCCATTCAGCCCCTGGTGGCGAGCCTAGGAATCGGAACCCCCCCAGAGATTTCTGAGCCCTCCGGCTAGGTCCCTCGGTCATCCATGTTCCCCACCGTGACCCCAGCCACCACACACAGACTGGGCTCTGCCTCTCTGCTTTATTGGAACAGCCTAAGTCAGAGCACAGCTGGTTCAGCTCTGCCTCAGAGTGGAGGTCTGCTGGACTCCGGAGACCTTGACTCGGGAGAGAACCACACACTGGGCACAGGACAGCCAGTTGAGTTTTTCTTTTATATATAAACAGACAATTCAAAAATTAGGTTAATATATAGAGATTCTCTGGAGAGAGACTGTGCAACCAAAAATATATATAAAGAATATGACCTCCTGGGTAAACGAAGCAGCATCTGAGCGGAGGAAGAGGACTCCTCATGCACTGGGGGGGCTGAGTCGGATGGCACCAAGGCCGCTGCATATCTCGGAGGAGGGCGAGGAGCAGAGGGCCAGTTGGGCGGGGTCTGCATTGCTGTCTCTATGTCGCGGGTTTTTGTGACTTTGGCTAAAGCATATGAAGCGTGGAGGTACTAAGGTAAGCACAGAGGTATAAGGTGCAAAGCCGAGGCTTCTCGGTCTCAGTATACAAAACAAAAAGGGGGTGGGGACAGCTATGGGGCCCTCCTGAGCCCCCAGCTGAGTAGAAGCCGATGGAAGAGCTCTGCAGGGCAGGGGGGAGGCTGGGGAGAGGGTTTAGCAGCCTCCTCCCCCCTCACCCTGTGCAGCCCTGCAATCCCGCACGTCTGTCCCTGCTGATGGTCTAGAGGGAAGGGAGGCAGTCTGTCGCCCCCCCACACTCATTCACCCCTGGCAGCAGCTGGGATGGAAGCGGCGGAAGGGCCTTTCTCAACCCCATGAGGCTTCGCCACAGCCAGGGGCCTGGGGAACAGGGAGGCCCAGGTCGTTGATTTAGGCAGTGAAGCTTGGCCACTCCCTTGAGTTCCATCTGTAGCTCTGCCCACCAAACCTGGTGGGGCGGGGCATCCTTGGGATGAGCAGAGCCAGCTAAGAGGAGCCAAATGTCCCTGATGGGGAGGAGAGGGGCAGGATTGGGGGAATTCAGAGGAGTTGGACTTGGTCCCTGAAGCCCTTCTGGTTCACTCAGACTTGGACTCCTCCAGGATCTGGGGTAGATCCCGGGGGCCAGGGGC